GTGCTGCAGAGCCCAGACCCGTGCCGCATTGAGCGCAACCACACACCCACTCGCCGCTGTACCCGGCCTTGACTCCCGCGCACCGCAAGCACGCCCAATGCTCGCAGCCAGCGACGTCGCACTCGCCGACGGCGCGCCTGCGACGGATCCTCGTGTCATCTTGATCAATCTCGGTGAATCGCAAACCGCACGTCGAGTCGCGCCGAACGGTCACGCCCTCCTGCGGGGAGGGGAGAGCGGGGAACGATACGTAAGGGGGGGGGACATGGGGTGAGAAGCAGCATGAAGGAGAAAACGCCTCGTCATCAAGCACAGCGCCGCAGCGGCAGCAATACACCGCAAGACTTGACCCACCTGCACCGCCGCCCTCGGCGGCCGCCGCATCCTCTACCGCAACCGCGGCGGGCTCAGCTACCGCCACCGCCGCCGCCGCCGCAATCGTCGCCGCCGCTTTGCTTGGCGCCACCGTCGCCGCTGCTTTGCTTGGCGCCACCGTCGCCGCTGCTTTGCTTGGCACCGCCGCCGCTTTGCTTGGTGGCCTTCGAGACGCGGCCGAAGCCGAACGGCTCGGTTGACGCACTCTGCGCGCGAGGCGGAGCACGGCATCAGCGGTTGCGTCGTACGGAGGAACGCCTACGGCAGAAGTCCAGAGACGTTCGGGAGGGCCCCTCTGCGCCGGCGAACCCCGTGGCGGCGAGATGCCGACGCCGAGCCGCGCAGCCAGCTGGGTCAGCACCTATGGGCGCGCAAGGGAGCGCGTCCAAGTCTGCTGTGAAGCAGGGAAGGGACGGAGTGGAGGGAAGCGGGCACGTAGTCTGCGCGGCCGCGCACGACGAGCTCCGCGACGCGGTCCTAACGATCGCGTCTCCTTGCTTGCTTCCCTCTCCTCTCGGCCTCCCGGAGACGCGCAGCGGCGCGATCCTTCGGAGTCGGCTGCAAGTTGATGATTGCGAAACGCTTGCGCCCGCGCCCCGGCTGCTGCCAGATGTACTTGTAGTGCTGCAGCACCTGCAGGGCATGTCCAAGCGGAGTCCGCACTCTGCCGCCAAGTGCGACTCTTGCCGCGCTGCGGCACCTTGAGCGAAGAACCAACGAAGAGCGACACGTCGGCGCGACCCGCGGCCTCTTGCGCCGACTCGAGCTGCGTCTGGCGGTGACAGGCGGGGGAAAGGTGAGGAGGTACGCCCACCCTCGCAGCTCGCCGAATGTGCGGGTACGCGCGTCGCGCCTCGTCGATCTTCTCCCCAAAGTAGACGATTGTGTCGTGCAGTGGCGCGCGGCAGCTGCTGTCGTCACATTTGCGCATCGTGGTGTGCCGCCGGTATGAAGACGCCTCTGTCACGTCGAAACCACGCAGAAACTCGCGGCCACACGCGCGGCATCGCTCGCGAAAGACGTTGCCGTGCAACTCCGTCAGCGCCGACGGCGGCACCTGTCCACACAGCGCGCGAAGGTCTGCCGTAGCAGGAGCTGCTGCTGCTCGCGCTACTCCTACTACCGTGAGTTGCACCGTGAAGCGAGGCATGTGAGTTGACGCTGGCTGCAGGAGTCCAGGACTACAGCTGTCGCCAGGCGGCACTGCTACAGTGACGTTATACTACTGCTGCACCCCCGAGCGCATGTGCAGGCCGTCGATGTTTTGAGAGACGACAGCGGCGACGCGGCCTGATAGCGCGGTCATGAAACGGCAGCTTGAAGAGCGGTGCGTGTGGCAACGTTGGGCGCCACGTGCGGCGAAGTTGCTGCGCAGGCCGTCGGCGCCGTGGGAGTAAGGCGGGGACTGAGTGAGGGCTTCGAGTCGCACCGGCGCGCACGAGGGCAGCGAGCGCCATGTGGCCCTCGGTTGGCGTGACGCCGAGCTTGTCGACGCCGCCGGCGCGAGAGCCGCTGGAGAGGGAGCCGGCCTTGCCCGCGGGCGCCTTTTTCTGCTGCGTCCATATCCCCTGCGGCCCGCGGTAGTCGGGGATGTTGGCGGCAGTCGAGATCCCAGCGCCGGTGTACACAACCACGTGACGCGCTCCAGCCAGCATCTCGCTCAGCGCGTCGATCTTGCCGCGGAGGACTTCGGCGTCGTCCTCCGTTTCCACCATGCTCGCCGCCTCGGCCGCCTTGCGCGCTGCAGTCCGCTCCTGCGCTGCCTGCAGCCGGCGCGCCTCCTCTGGCCGCGCCTCCAGCAGCGCGAGGTCGGCGGCGGTGCGCTCGTCGACTGGCGTGCGGAGCGCGGCCTTGAGCCGACGCTCCACCTCCCGCTCCTCCGCCGCAGCCCTGGACTGCGCCGCGCGCTCCAGCTTGGCCGAGTCCCGCTGGGAGAGCGCCATCGGGGGCCTGTGCTCGTAGGCACGGCCTGTGCGATACGGCGGCGCCTGGCCAACTTGGAAGGCGGCGAATAAAATTATTCGAGGTCCCCTCTAAGCCCTCAGACAAGATATGTAAGATGCGCCCTCCCCCCTCGCTTTTGCAAAATCCTGCAAAGGTGGGGACGTGTCTGTCCTCGACCCAGCCCTAGCTTGGGATGTCCGTTGTATTTATTTATTTATTTATAGACAAGATATGTGGCACGAAGGTTGAAGCGAGAATCGGAGAGAGACTGCGAAGAGAGATAGGAAGAGGCGGACGCCCAAGGGTGGGCGACGGCTAGCGCACCACACCCCTCTCCTTAAAATCCCTGTGTGGTGGCGGCGTGCCGTCCTCCCATCCCTCCCTTGGGCGTCCGTTTTCTTTCTTTAGACAAGATATGTGAGGGGGGCTGCGCAAATTCTGGGCACACGCGCAGATTCTGTCGACACGGGCGCGCCATGCCCAAGGCCTCGCGCCCTCGCCGTCGAAGGCGCCGCTGCCGAGGAAGCCGAAGAAGCCGAAGGACGTGAAGGACGTGGCCTTGAACACGATGCGCCTCGCCTTGGAAGGCGGCGAATGAAAAATATTTTCGTCGGCACGAGGGAGCTTACCAGTGATCCAAGCTCCCTCACGCGCTCCACCCGCGATCCGCACCTGTGACCACAAGCACAACCCATAACACTGTGAATTTGTGTGAGCTCTGTGTCCTGACTTGCCAATAATGTACCTAGAACAAGCTCGCGGGTCAACCGACGACGGTACTGTGGTGGCGCGGGTTTCAACGTAACGTCCTTCATGTCGGCCGCCGCCCAGGCGCACAGCCTGGGCAAAATCCTCTGCCAGGCGCAGGCGGAGATCGCCGCTCTACGCGAGACACTCACGGAACCGCCAGCCGCTGGAGCCTCCCCCGATGGCCGCAGTGTGGAGGAGGTGCTGGGGGTGGTGCGTCAGGTCGAAGACTCCCTGCGGCTGAAGGCCGACACGTTGCTTCAGGCGCTGCAGCTGCCAGCAGCGCCCCGCATGAACGGCAGCAACACTCCCCACTTTGCCGTGGCCGCCACCTCGCCCGCGCCGCCGCTACCAGCGGAGTCGGCACCCCCCGATGACTGGAGAGGGCAGCGTGGCCACGACCGGCTGCGGGTGCAGCTCCCTGCACGGGCACGCTCGGCGCCATCCGTGAAGGCGGCTACGAAGCAGCAGCAGCGGCAGCTCTCAGCGGCGCTAATGAACCCTGCTTCTTCCTCCTCGCGCGCCTACCTTGCGCAGCGGTTTGGCGTAGCAGAGCCGGCCCAACCGCAAAGCGGATGCCGACGGCCCTGTGGGCCGGCGCCCGGGATGAAGAAGCGACAGGGAGCGAAGCGGACGGCGCCGCTCGGCGTTGTCGCCGGTGACTGCCGACGCGATCCTCACGCGGAGCCGCCAATCCGCCCGAGCGACGTTGCCGCCGGTCTGCTCTCTCTTACGCAACGCAGACTCCTGCCGCCCCATGTCGACCTCACGCCGGCCGCCGCAGCTATATCAAGGAAAAGAAGTGAGCCAGCGCCGGGAGTCACGCATCAGCACATGCACCACTGTAGGCCCTCGCGCGGGAGCCGGCGCCAGTCACCCAGTCGCCCTCGCGGCTGCATTCCTTTACTGAGCAGTTTGTGGCTCCGGCCGCGCAGCCAGCGCCCTTCTCCTTTACGGCCAACACGAAGCTCGACCTTCGGACCGATCCAGGACAGACGTTTGCGGAGGCGGGTCCGGTCTCGCGCCCTCCCGCCAAGCTCGCTCTCCGGGATGGGATTAATGCAGAAGGGAAGACGTTGGGGCCGCCAATGGTCAGTGTCGCTCGCCAAAAGGAAGACGAGGAGGAGTCAGCCCGCACATCAAATCAAGTCGAGGTCGCGGCGGGACAGGATACGCCAACAGAAGCGCGTGGCTTTGACGCCCTGATGGACCGGTACTCCCTTCACCACTACATTGTCCGCCATGGCGCCACACTCCGTACCACGCCTGAGTTCCTGTCGTTTGAGCGCAAGTATGCCAGCAGTTGGGGCGCGCCCAGACGGCTCCACACGCGGGCCCGGTCGTTTGTAGGTCCACAACGTGTTCACGCCGTGTCTTGTAGGCGCCATTGAGGGGCTCAATTTGCGGCTGGAGGATCTACTCCGCGCCTTTGGGGTGCCACTTGCCGTAGTTGACGGCCAAAGGCTCGCAGCGCTTGCGAGCGACGCGCTCGCGCTGATCGATGACAACGCGCTCTTGAGCTGTTTTGTCAACGCAGATGAGGTGGCACGTTGCATGCGGCTCCCCGATCAGCAGCTAGCCGAGAGGGAAGAGGAGGCTCGGGTGGAGATTGCCGCCAATACGGTGCAAAAGCGGGCGCGAGCTTTCCTCGGTCGTCGGAGGGCGGCCTGGCAGAGGTGCGAGGCTGAGGCGGCGGCGCGGATAGTCCGAGGGTGGCGGTCACGGCAGAACCTGCGGGATCTTCGTGCGCGGCTGGCGCGTGACCGCGCGGAACGAGATGCCACGTGGCGGGCCACGCAGGCGGATTTTGGCGTTCGGTGGGGGGAGATGCGGTGGGAGCCTCGGATCATCGTCCACGTGCCCTCGCTCTCGTACAGCGAGGCGCGCGCGGGAGATAGCCTAGATCTAGCAATGTGCCGAGATGAACCCTTTGTCACGCGCCACCGCAACTAGCAGGCGCAGCGAACCACCATGCGCAGCCTTGATGTGAGGCAGAACGCACAGCTACCGCGCCTCTGCGACGCGGCGGCCGCGGGCGTGGACGTCATCTACGTAGCGCCGTTCCCGCTGCACGACGATGTGGTCGGCTACTTTCGCAAGGTGCTCGAGACTCACAGTGTGAGGGCCTCTAGAGCAGCTACCTAATAGCCGGCATTCGGCCGCAATATAGGTGCTCGAGATCGGCGGCGTTGAGTCGCCCGAGCAACGCTTCAAAGTGGTCGTGCCCGAGAATTACCACCGTTTCCCGCCCCATTTCTCGCTCGCCACGTTGTTACTCTACTCGCCGCGCGCGCTCCGTCGCATCTCCGCCTTTTGCCGCGGCCGCGCGGCGTACATCGTCCCCGGCGCCGTCACATTGGGGTGCATGCCTCAAAGGGCGAGAGAAAGCAGTAAGCAAGCGGTTATCCGCCAACATAGGCGTCGTTGGGCCAGAAGATATGCGGCTGTCGCAGGCGCTAAGGATGCCATTGTTTGGGCCGGAGCCACGACTCGCGCGCGCGTTTGGGTCCAAGTCGGGGGCGCGACGTATCTTTCAAGCGGCGCGGGTCAACGTACCGCCCGGTGCGCATGACGTCTACGACGAGCCGTCATTATTGGCGCGGTTGGCCGCTCTCATTGCCGCCCACCCGGCGCGAGTTGGACGTTGGGACCGCAAACTATTCCGGCGAGTTATTAGACCCACCCGTTGTCACGTAGGACGTGCCCCGCTGGCTGGTAAAGCTGGACGACGAGTCGGGCGGGCGCGGGATTGCCCACGTAGACGCAGCGCACGTGCCATCGCGCGCCAAAGCGCTCGCCGCCCGCCGCCGGCGTGAATCTGGCCACCCGCCGAGACCGCCCACCGAGGGCGGCGAGGGCGGCGAAGAGGGAGAAGACGCCAGCCAGGCGCGTTTGGATGCCGAATTGCGTCAAGAGCTAGCCGAGCTCCTGCCATTCCGGGCCGTGGTCAGCGCTCCGTGGCTATACCGCTCATGGGCCGAGTTCGTTGTGGCGCTCGGGCGCACTGGTGGCGTCATCGAGGCGCTGCCACCGAAGGCAGGATGGCGGATACGTAAAGCTTCAGTTCAGAAGGTTAGGCAGTGTCTCTGTAGGCGTCGCCCGGTGATGAGGCGCTTGTGTCGTCACCCTCGTGCAATCTTCTCATCGAGCCAGACGGGGCTCTCTCCCTCACCTCGACCCACGACCAAGTCCTCTCGCGCTATTCGTTCGTCGGCGGCGCCTTTCCGCAGGCGGCGGTGCCTGCCGGCGCGATTTGCGAGGCGGCACTGGCCATTGCGCTCGCGTGCCGCGACGCCGGCATCATTGGCCATGTCGGTGTTGACTTTGTTGCTTTCACCGGCGCCGAGGGGATGCTTCGGTTGTGGGCCGTCGACCTCAATCTCCGCCTCACGCCCACCGCCCTCTCGTTCTCTTTCTTTGACTTTCTGGTGGGCGGCGCCTTTGACGCGGCGACGGGTGAGTACCGCGGCGGGCCAAGTGGCGAGAATGGGCAGACCACACGCACTTATGTCATGAGCAACGCTTTCTACCACGCGCAACTGCCCTCGGTTCGCCCCTCGACATTCTTCAGCGCATGCCGTCATCGGGGCGCCTCCTTCGACCTCGTGGCGCGAACGGGCACAACTCGTTTCCATGCATTCCTCCTCGCGGGCCCGTTCTGCTCTCACAATCTTGGCATCACCTCGGCTGTAGGCACCGTCTTCAACCTGGTGGACTCGTTCTCGGGCGGCGTGCTCGGCATGCTCACTGTGGGTCCTTCTCGGCTCGACGCCCTGCGCAGGTTTGCCGAAACTCCGGATCGTCGAACGTATCCGATGCATTTCCCCTCACTATGATGTGAGCCGCATAGGTTCGCCGATGGGCTCGCGCTCATCCAGCAGCAGGTGGGGCCGGCGGTAGCGCGGCACGATGCGAGCGAACAGGCCCTGCACGACCTCACGTTCCAGGACGTCATTCAGGCAGTGCGCTCGTTGGCCACGCTTGCCCCATCCGACATCTTGCCTGCACCAGCCGAGCACAAAAAGGGCGAGAGGCGGGCTCTCGTGGACGCCGAGCAGGTGAATGAGTTGTAGCGTGTGTGGAGCCGCAGCACAGGCACATTTCTACGTCACGGTATGCGTCTCTCAGTAGACCGCAGGGTCCCCTGTAGCCGAAGGCGAAGCGTAAGCCTTGTTGCCTTGACCGTGTTTCTAGTTTTCTTTTTTCCAAGACACAAAGCCCGAGAGTGCCCCCCCGCACATGCACATGCAACGGTGACTCGCCACAGCCCACACCACTCGCGTACAAACATGCACACACTCTATATGACTCGTGTGTACGCGTGTGACTCGTAGACCCATATGGCGCCATGCTGCATGCACGACACACAGACAAAATACACCAGAGACATGCCGTAACCCACGGTCAGCGTCAGGATGGGCGACTTCAGCGGCAGCGAGCCGTCACTCTAGTGCCCTCGCTGCGCTGCTCCACTCGTCCGCTACACAATATTGGTCGAAGGCTGATGCGCGCCTCCCGTGCGCGAGTCGTTGCGTGTCTCGCTTGCGGATGACTTCCGCGTGGCGGCCTTATCCTCGGCGCTGCTGTCGTCAAATGTGCCCCACGCCAGCGGCGGCATCTCGAGCGCCGACTCATCCAATCTCGAAGCGACGGCCAAGCCAGCCGGAATACCGACGAGGGTGGCAAGAGTGAGAAGAAAGTAGGGGGGTCTGATGCCGGCGGAGAGGGTGAGGCATGTGGGCGGATCGACCAGCTCAGCAAAATGCGCCTACTCAACAGGCTGAATGATTGGAAACGCGGTCCGACGGCATGTGGTCGGCGGCTCGAGCCGCTCGAATGGCGCCTCGGCGACGGCGCCAACAGTGTCGCAGAGGCCGTGCGAGATTTCCCCCACGATCTGCTGCGCAATGGCGTCGAGCTGGGACGAGGGGGGGGGGGGGGGGGTCCACGCTTAGTGGGCGGAAGGGGTGATGGGAGGGGTTCGACGAGGGAGCTTGCAGGAACCCGCACCTGCACGATTGAGAGGATCATGCAAACCACGTAGACCTCGAGTGCACCGAGGGAGGAGCACACCTAGTTTGACCGGCCGCCTCAGAGGCCGCCGAGAGGGCCCAGGCGGTATATGCGGACGGAGCTGCGGGAGGGGCGGCACATTGAGCATAAAGCCAGCGGCGTGGCGCGACGACGGCGAAAGCGGCACGAACCAGGCGAGCAAGCAGCCAAAGTACCAGGCAAGAGGGGCGACCATGATAACGAGGAAGTAGATGACGCGGTACCTGGAGGGAAGCTCGGGGCGGCTCAGCCAGGCCAAAGAGACGAGAGGAGAGACGGGGCGGCACCCTTCCATCAGCCAGTCGGGCGATGATGGCGAGGCGTGGCGGAGCTGGACGCCACTCTCGATCACAGAGTACTCGTCGGAGCTCTCCCCGCCGAGTGCCACGCCGAGAAGCCCCCCCTTGGAGAGGCGGAATACGGGGAGGAAGCAGGCGCCGAGCGTTGCGCAAAAGGCAAAGATCAGTGACAGGCTCACCACGATGCCAAAGCGTTCGCCGGAGCGATGGCGGAGCGCGACGCTTGGGATTGGTGGTGCAGCAGCCTCGGTGCCAGGCCGTACGGCGGCCTTCCTCTTCCCCTGGCCCGCCCTCGTCGCCTCGCGAGGCGGGCGCGCGCACGGGTGTTGCGGCGGCAGGCACACCGTCTTGTGCATGTGGAAGACGAGGGCGGTGAGGAGCAGGGAGGCGAGGACAGCGAGGAAGAAATAGGTGATGCCCTCTGTCGGCATAACCTCGACCGAGACGGTCGCCAACGGGAGCGCGCCCGGTTCGGGAGCGGGCGGTAACGTGAAGTCCATCTGCATCGCCGCCATCAGAATGAAGATCATCAACGAATCGACGTTTGACCACTTGCCCATCTTCTCAAAGAAGCCGAGCAGGGCGCCCCGCCTCCCCGCCGGGAGAACACAAGGCGGTGCCCACAAGCAAAAGAGCGTAGTCGAGAGCTTCACGGCAGGCCAAATGCCTACACACACGGAAGGTTGCGCAGCGGCACGTCACGGACGTGGTTGCCGAGCTTCGGAGCTAGGGCGCTGGTCGGGCGCGCCCGAGAAGACCACGATGAGGGCCGAGATGAGGTAGCCCATCCCGCCCGTCTGCCAGAAGCGGATCACCTACCGCGATCGATGGAGGCTGTGCCATGCTACGCAGCAACGCAGACGGTCCACCAGAGGCGCGTCACCGAGGAGGGGAGCCCAATGCCAAACACGTCGAGCGGCGGCAGCGGTGCCCCCGCCACGGAGACCGTCGCACGCACCATGGCGCCATCGAGCACGGGCGCGTTGGCATACGAGAAGAGGAGGAGGTTCAACACGAGCAAGAGCGAGAGCGGCCACGTCAGCGAACGGGGGTAGTGCGACGCGATGGGGAAGGCGCCACCATCCGCCGCCGCTCCGCGCCGCGGGACGCAGCAGAAGCGCGGACAGGCGAGGTGACCGCCGATCACGAGGGCGCTGATGCCGTAGGCGGCCCCGTAGACAGTGCACGAGAGCAGCGTCTCGAGCCCGCTCATACCGGTGCCGGTGGTGGTGGTTGCGGCAGCGGGAGGCACCCCCACCCTAGGCGCCGCGCAGGCCTCATGCGCCGCGTCGACGGTCGAGGCAAGCGCCTCATTGAGCGCGCCGAGGGTGCCCGGCAGGACCGCGGACAGCAGGGAGCCGAGAAAGCCAGCCGTCAGCACGGCGGGCTCGGTGCCGTTGATGGGGGCGATCGCAAGCTCAAAGCTAGGGGGAGAGGGAGAGCTCGTCTCAGCGTCTCTACCCTTCGGCTCTCTACCCCTCTCATGTCTTTCTTGGTGTCTCTCGTGTATCCGGCAAGACTCCGGGAGGGTTGTCGAGGCTGCTGCGACCACAAGGGTGATACATGGGCAGAGACCGCACACCTCGAGGCGCCGCCATCAAGTGCATCGAGGCGCGCTCCGCGCAGGGGTGTCAGCACGCAGGGTGAGGCGAGGTCGGCGATCGAGAGGGCGCCGAGCGCGCCGGCCGCGAGCCGTAGCTGCTGCACGGCCTCAGCAGTGACCGCAGCGGCCGTCAGGTTGACCGTCCAGCCCACCGTCCGACCTATAGCAACCACGTCGCGCTCACAGCACACCGAGCCATGCAGTTGGCCTCGGTTCGCCCCTTGCT